CGGGCTGCCACAGCCTCTGCGAAATGAACCGATGATCAATGAACCCCGTGCCACCGTCCTCATTCCCCTCTGAACGCTCCCAGTGCAACTCCCCTCTGAATGCAACGCAGTTCTGGGCTGTCCTGCAGTGATTTGGGGGTCCCTGTGGGTCCCTCCCGGCTCAGGATGCTCTGGGATTCCCTGAGTCCGTCATTCGTTCCTGTGAACGGCTGCTGTGATGGTCGGGGGCTGCCGGCCCGTGGAGGGGCCCAGACAAACGCCCTGTCCTTGGCATTTGTGCATTGGGACATGGAGGAGGAAAGAACCAAATCTGGAGCCTGCTATCTGAAGATCCCTTCATGCAGGATCCAGCCTTGTCCAACCTTTCCCTTTTCTGTGCAGGGCTGAGGCCAGGCTCCTTCCTTTCTGCCCCACGAATAAATTCCTCACCTGTCACTGCCGAGCCCTGGGTCCTGACCCCAAAGCCCATTTTCTGGGCCCAGCTGTGGCTGGGGTGTGATCCCAGAGCCCTGGGGATGGCTCTGGCAGGAAGGCAGGATGAACTTCCACAGAAACCCAGCAGGGTTTTGGATGGGCTGTCCCCATTCTGTTGAACCATCAGCCGCCCATGTGGTTCCTCATCTCTCATCAATCCTCCTGGTTTAAGTTGTGCACAAACCATAGGGACAGCACTGAGTTATTTTTATTTTATTCTATTATTCCTACAAGCACGTGGGTTCACATCGTGTGGCATTAATGGTGGAGAACAGCAGTAAAACCAAGAGGGTGCTGGCAGAAGCTGGAGAAATGGTGAACTTCCAGATCCTCAAGATGTACAATAAAGGAAAAAAAAAACCTTTTGCCTGCAGGTTTGCAGCACAAACTGCAGATTCACAGTCTCCTTCTGAAAGGAGGATGAGAAATAGCTTTAATTTAACTCACCAAGTGTTAACCGTGGATTACACTGACATTTTTTCTTCTTTGCCCATAGCTGCAATGGGTTTAAGACAGTATTTTATCTTTCTTAAGTTGATTTTCTTTTAATTAAATGACTGAGCTAAGCAGGAAGAATTCAAAGCTGGGAAAAAAAAAGAAATGAAATAGCTTCAATTTTTAAGGACAGCCATTATGGAAATATTAACTGCAGCTCCATTTAAAGTGTCTTTTGTTTATGCTTTGATTGCTTTCTTATTACAGTATTGAAATTGTAAATGGAAAATTACACCATGTTCTATTACATAAGCAACTGGTTTGCACAGCTTGAAATATAAGGTTTTATTATTAGGTTTTCAGGGCTATGAACAATAGATGGGTTTTATTATACAGTAAATAGCACTTTTCCACTTGACTTCGTTATAACACTTAATGGTAAAAGGGAAATACTCCTCTTTCATAAATAAATGCAGCAAACAGTCTCCCAGATTTCAGACAGCTGAGCAGCAGGGAAGTAACTTTGGTTTATCTGAACACATTTAATTCATGTGCCAAGGCACTTGATTTTAGCAAACTGCCCAAATTACATTCCTTCCTTTCTGTCACAGTGGCCAACTTGCTGATTTCCCATGTGATGAAGGAAGAAGTCAAGGGAAAAAGATATGCAGAGACCCCACAGTGGAATTATTCCCAGGCAAGCAGCACCAACCTTTCCAGCGCTGTTTAACACCTTTACCTCAGTAAGGTTGTAGAGGACACCCAGTTGGTGTCAGTGTGGATAGTAGGAAAATTCACTTCCCCAGCATTGCCACAGGCTGCCCAGGGCACTGGTGGAGCCCCCATCCCTGGAGGCATTTGAAAGCCATGTAGATGTGGCACTTGGGGACATGACTTTAGTGGGGGAACAGTTGGGCTCAATGATCTTAAAGGTCTTTTCCAACCTAAATCATTCTGTGATTCTCTGCAAAGGCTACATTAACTTGGTATTTTTTATTATATTCATTGTATTTTATTTTTTTTAAATCAATTTGTTAACTCAGGGTTTTTCTTTGGAGTCTTAAATGTTGTAATTACTTCAATTCAGGTCAGGTATAGTAGCTGGTGTTTGGTTATGATTACTTAATGTTTTTATTGCAAATGCCAGTTGTACCTTCTAGAATTTCCTTTAAAGGTACAGGTTCTCATACAATCTAATACACATGCTACAGCAACTCAGGATAAATTTTTCCCAAGGAGATCAAATAAAATCCCTATTAGATAATCATTGTGAAGAAAAAAACCTCATTTGTGGATTAAACCTACCAGTTCCAAAAGAACTCAACAAAAACAGAGCCACAAACAGAGAATGAAATGTTTTTCACATCTTATCTTTCAAAGGAGCAAGAGACTTTGCATCAGGGAAATCTGAAATAGATGCTTCAGCAAAAGGGTGCTCATTGTACAAGAGATATTAGATAATTTGTGGTGTTTCACAGTACCTCTAGCATGGAGTCCTGAGCCCTTGCCAAAAATTGAAATCCTTGAATTAGAAGATTTCCCAAACTAGGGAAAATCTTGGCTCTTCCCCTTTCAAGTTACACAGCTTGATAGACTAAAAAAGAAATAAAAATCCTTTGCTTGAATCAGACCTTTCATCATTAATATGGACTGAAATAACATTTAAAACTGTTCTTTTCCAGTGTTTCAGGTAGTGCTGAAAACTCACTCCACTGGTGGTGTTTATCCATCAGCTGGACAAACATCTCCTCAGAAGGAGTTATTACACACTCACCATTACTTTGTGGAAGCACCAAATTGAGTAACACTTCAGAGAAGAACCTTTATTCATTTTACAGGCAGGGAAAAGTCCATGACTTCCATTATTTCTCTCTCTCACCACGCTGCCTCTCCTAAGAGCCTGCAGACTCAAATTATCAGGTACTTAATTGGAAAATAATTTATTGACAAGCCATGAAAGGCTCGGAATAAAGCACTAGGGGATTTCATAGCTTGACTTGGGATAGCTGTAGGAAATTAATGAGCTGAACAAGACCAAGCACATTCAGATGCTGGAATTTGTGCCCTTGAGACTGCTGTTCCCAGGCCAGGAGAGAACACACCTCAGAGAAACATCCTTCCAGGATCACTCATTGCTGCCTCACCTCCGCCAGCTCTTACATAAGGCTCTTGCTCCATCACTGCCACAGGCTGTTGTAAACCATTTTTCTCCCTTTCAATTCAGGTTCCTAGACAAGCAAAAATGCAGAATATTGCCAGAATAGTCTGGGGAATGGGGGTTTCTGTTGTGGATGATTAATGAAATATTATTGTTTTGCACTTACAGGGAAATCGTAGTTTCATGCCAATAAGGTCAGGGCCTTAATAAGTTATGTGCTCCATAAAGATGTACAGAGTGATAGCTCATTTTCTGTTATTACTGAGCCAAAGCCTCATCAGTTTAGAGAGGAATGTTGTAGAAATGGCAACACTGCACTGAGAGGTGAAACAAACCTTCATCTTAAATTGCTGATTGCAATTCTGGTCCATCTAAATCCACATCTCCACCCGCACCAAGAGAGGGGCCCAAAAGGAAGATGTGGGACCCTGCTTCTGTAGTTATCAGCTAATCACCCTTCATGATATGCCTCAAATTTCTCTTGGATTAACTCAACTTCTGCAATATGTTGTTGAGAGAGACAGAAGCCAGAGACCCAGAACAAAAAATCCTTGCAGCTGTGTAGAGGCATTGGATTTATCAGCTGTATTTTGAAAATCATCTATTTATAACCCAACCTACTCAATACTCATCTCCCAGGTCAGGCTGCCTTGACTTGTTGGTGTAAATGTAGATCTGGAAGATCATGGTTCTAGCTGAGTTGTAAGGGATTTTACTGCAAACATTTTTGTAGATATGAAAATCTATTAAAAAGTACATTACCAGCATCAAAGCCAAGGATCTCCCATGTGTTTTCTCACTGGGTGAGACTCATGAAGGAATAGCATCTATTCAGTCCAAGAAGGAGGCTTTTAAAAACAACAAAGTTCCCAAGAATGGTAAATGCTTAACATTTGGAAAATGTTAGCATTTAAATAAATAAATGTTAGTATATAAAATAAAGTGGGAAATACTCTCACCTTAGGCTGTGCACAGGGACAATGCACTAATCTCATGCACAGATTTTTTTTAATTTTCTTCTCCCAGTGACCTGACTCATCACATATAATCTTTCAACTCAGAGCATGGAAAAAAAAAATCAACCTAGGAATCTCTTTTTTTAAAAAATTGCCATTAAATAAAGATTTAAAAAAATATTTTTTCAGGAGTCTTTCTTCCCAGAGTAGATTTGCAGCCCACGCTGGTTTGACAGATGAATGAAAAGAAATTAAAGAATCATTTGTATAAAAATGAGCAAAGTGAACACTTGAGAACACCACCCTGTAGTGATCCTGTAGAAACACAGATTTGCTGGGTTGGGAAGAAGTGGGTGTAATCCAATAAAACAATGCAATAATGATGAAAAATTGAAAGAGGTCAGAGTCGGAAAGCTTTTGATTTCTTTTTGCACTGGCATTTGTCAAGGCAAGCAAAATCCATTAGCGAGGAGCAGCCTGAGTTTTAACACATCTGGGTCTTTAAAAATGTTAATGTTTAATAGGGTGTGCTCAGGCTTTAAATGTCCCTGATAACAATGCATGGGCTGATAGGCATCTCTGGGGGCTGTAAAGCAGTGGCAGAGCCTTGCAAGGCACACCGGCACTTGGTGCTCACTCTGCTGGTTTATGATGTTATCAGCAGTCATTGACTGAATTATGGACTTATAACAACCCTTTCCCTGCATTATCCTACAGTTACTGTAGCTCTGTTCACCTGTGTGCCATGAGGAGGTGATGTGACCTTCTCCAGGTGAGTTACTGTGGTGTTAAGGGCAGGCTCATTGTCCAGGAGGAACTGATGGATCCCCTGGGCTGTGCCCACAAACTCTGCTCACCTGAAGGGAGTTCTGCCCTGGGCTGCTAGAAAGACAAAGACATGAGCTGGGAGCAATGTTTCCCCCATTCCTGTGTGGGATCCTCTGGCTGCAGGCTGTGCTCAGGGTTGCACCCTGGAAGTGAGGGTTGTGAGGACGGAGTGGGGCTGAGGGCATCACACTGGCTCTATTCTAAAACTGCAAAGATTCCCTCCCTCTGGAGAGCTCATCCCTCATTTCTCCATGGCTTCAGTGTATCAGGCTGCAAGTCCATGTGCTCACTGCTTGAGAAAGGGCCTCACTCCATATTGTCACCACAGATTGAAGGCTTAGGGAAGGTGATTTTCCTTGCTCTGGTAGCAGCCAGCTCTGCTCCAACAGAGCTCTGTGTAAAAAGGAACAGATTTCCTCCTTTGGTACCCAACTGGCCCCATGCAGGGCTTTTTCCTCCCTCTTACTGCATATTATAAAGTCTCAGGAGTCCCAGTAGTCACACCATTTGCTCAGAGAAGAATCTGGCAGAACAGGATATTCTTGGAAATGTCTGGGAGAGGAGGGTGCAGGCCAAGACCTCTCAGCTGTGCAGCAAATCCTGAGATGGATGTGACCATCCAGTGCCCTCCTCTCTTTGCCCACCCGGCCTGCACAGGAAAGTTCTCCTTGTGAAAAACTGCTCTCCTGATAAACAAGCCTGGGAGAGCAGGCAGCTTTTTCATGTCAATCTAGTTAGAGTTTATTGATTCCCCTTGCCTTTGGCTAATGTACTTTTATTATTATTAATAAATAATCATCATTTTCCCATCAGTGTAGCCTGCACCCGGGAGCCTTGGAGAATTCTAGCAAAAGAATTATTAAACTAAAGATTTCTAAAGGGTTCAACAGCAGCACAGCCCAGTAATCTGCCAGAATCTGCAACTGGGGAGTAAAATATCCCCACTGGAAAATATGGGACAGAGCATCAAATCAGCTCCTTCCCTTAGAGCCACCATTTCTACAAGGCACTTCCTATTCTTGGTCACTTCTGCTTTGTTGTCATCCCCAAGGATGCAGAGGGTGGGGGTGGCTCTTGGAGCTGTCACCTGGGCACGTGGGCTCTTGCTTGGGCTTGGGACATGACTCAGTCCCTGCAGGGCCAGAACTGCTGCCATGTGCTCCTCCTGCCTGGCACCTCCATCTTCTGCCTGGCCAGCTGCAGCCTGATTCTGGCTCCTCCCAGGTTAGCAGGATTCAGGATCTCTTTCCCAATCTAGGCAGGATTGCCTGCAGGGGACAGTTTCTCCTAGAGGATGGCATGCAGCTGTTCATAAACAGAGGGAGTCATCACCAGCTGCTGAGGCAGGCTTGGCCATCCAGGCACTCTGTGCACTAAACTGCCAAATAGTGACTGATATTTTGGGTTTGCTGGTAGGGGATTCTTGGGACAAAGACGGTAACAATGCTAGCAATAAAAAACACTGATTTGCTCAAGGAGGTGATTTTAGTGGGGTGGCAGGAAAGCAAAAAGAATCAGAGCTCTCACCTGTAAATAGATCTGCTCCTGTCATCAATCCTGAATTAGCACATCTTCATCCCACCATTCCAGCTTGTCCATGGTCAGTCTTGTCCTGCCCAAGGGCTTGCTTACCCTGGGCTGTGCATTGTTGTGGGCTTTCCCTCCTGTGCCCTGCTTCCTCCATTGCATCACTGGGGTCCAGCTGAGTCCTGTGACCTGGCACAGAGTCCAGCATGGCTCCTGTCCTTGAGTTCTGACCCTGAAATCACATAGAGAACAACATGCCCACAACACAGATATTCACTGGAAAACAAACACCTCATCCCGGTGTTGTAGGTGAAATAAGAGCTCCAGATTATGGTAATCCATGGTTCAGAATAAAAGAGGGTGTTTCATCTAGCAGGAAAATGAAGTACATCTGATCTGAGTGGATGTAAACAAGTCTGCAGAGCCCTTTTCTCTGTGTAAAGCCACTTCCCCAGAAGGTGTGTTCAGGCAATGACAGAAGGGCTATAAAGGGACCCCGAGATGCTCCTACCCTCAGCTGCCTTTGGACATGGCTGTGCAGAGTCTCCTGCAGTACCTGGGCTCCTGCTCGCTGCTCTGTTTGGCAGCAGGGCTCTTTGCTCTCCTTTACTTTCTCTCCAGCTCCAAGAAGTCAGTTTGCAATTTGCCCCCTGGGCCACGACCTCTTCCTGTGATCGGGAACCTGAACGTGGTGGACCTGAAAAAGCCATTCCAGTCGCTGACAGAGGTAGGGGCTGAGCCAGCAGGCAGAGGGAAATGTGCAATTCCTGCAATGAGAAATGCAGCTGGGGAAACAGAGATGTGGTTGTGTTTGCTTTGTGTGGAGGGCAGCAATGAGATATGTGGCACACAGGCAGAACAACTTTACCTTCAGAGGTGCACACACACACACACACACACACACACACACATATTTATATATATGAATATAACACACACACTCCTTTCTTTATACACACTTAAGTGTAGACCTCCCACTCCTCACAATCTACTCCAAATTGTTGGTGTTTTGAGCCCTTCAAAGGCTGCAGGTAAAAGACTTGTGCTGGGCCAGGTTGCTGCCATCAAGAGATGTCTCACTGCCACCAGACCTCTAGGAAGGAATGGGTGGATGGAAGGGATGAAGCAAGAAAAGGCATCATCCTCACAGCAGAGGGACAAACTTTTTTCCAAAACTAATTACATCTCTGCAATGCTCAGCAGAACTCTGCCTCCCCAGCCCTTCCCCGGCACACACTGCTCAGGATGGTTGAGGACTCAATGCATGGATTTTATATGTCTAGCTAATTAAATTGCTTTTTCTTACACAGCTCCATGGATACTTATATTTCTGAGAGAGAGAGAGAAAAAAAAAACCCACTTAAATATTAAAAAGCCAGGGGCAATGTTTGTTTTAGAAAGTGTCTGCTGTGTTCCCTCAGGGACCTGGGGACAACTCAGTGGGAATTCAGATTTTATCTGGTTGCTGTAGAGACACTTGAGGTGCTGTGAGGGACCGGTCACATGCCCTGTGTGTGTGCTGCTTGCTGGACACTATGGTGGGGGAAAGCTGGTCCCCAGAGAACTCCTTCAGCCCCTTGAGCATCTGCAGTGGGAGGGCAGACACTGCAATCCTCCTGTTAGCTGTGGAAGGAAGGGCATCCTGTGTTTCCAAAGCACAGAATTCCTACAGCAGGCACACAGTGCTCATCTGCCCTGATTTATGGGGCAGAGGGTTGTGCACAGATCAGTTCTGATGGGCTTCTGGTCCTGAGCTCCTGGGTATGTTTGAGGATGTCAGTATGAAACTATTTATGAACTATTTTTGGCAGTACTGGGGGATTTTATGATACAAATATCACGTGGCAGCACCAGACTAATTTCCCATAATCTACCAAGGAGCTTTATTTGGGCTTTCAGGCCTGCCACATCCAATACTTGTGCTGCTGAGCAAAACCAGAGGGGCTGCCAAGAAGCACTAATGCAAGGAGATGGCCAAAGGAAGGCTCAGAGCAGCTGTGATTCCCTGCCCCTGGCTCTGCCACTCGCTCTATGAGCTGCCAGGGATGGAAGAACCAGTGCTAATGTTATCTCCCAAGCCGTCAAACCACTGCTTGATGAAAACAAATTCAATTTGTCTGGTGTAATAACAGGAGCTGCTTCTAATCTGAAATTCAATTTGTGGAATCTATCTAATGCATAGAAAATGGTAAGCCAGGCACATCAGAAACAAGAAGACATTTGGAGGGGATGGCTTGCAGTGTGTTCAAACGAAGCCTAAAATACCAAGTGAATGATTAGCTTGTCAAAGCCACCTTTCAGGGTAACAGATGATTCATTTTTAATTTGCTATAAATGCCTAACACTCCTGTGACATTATCTACCAGAATATGCTTCCTAGTCAGATCCAAGTTTCTGGTGGCCAGCAAGTAATTCCATAATGACTGCAACACTACCCACCTTGCCATAATTAGAGACAAGTGCTGTCCTGAAAGAAAGAGTTATTGTCTGGCTTTGTTTCTGCAGGGTTTGTGGCTTCAGCCTCAAAGGTGTGTGCACGCCTGCTTGCCTCAGGTCACCAGCACTACAACAAACAGGCCTGCCTGCAGCAGCATTCTCTAGCCAGCCTCCCGAGGTGGTATTGCTGGTCTGCTACTGCAGAACACCACAGGAATGCAGTGGCACTTTACTGACTCCCCTGATTGGGGCAGTGATAGCAGACACCTTGTTGTGCAAACAGGGTGCAAGCAGAGATGCTGGCAATCGATAGCTGCTGCTCGCTGCTTGAATTACAGCAGCACCTGGAGACATCAGGCAGGGCTGGGAGGCTCCTTTTGGTCTAGAAACCACCTAGAGAGGCCAGTAGTTGTGTTTGAGTCCAGATCAGGTTTTGAATGAACATATTTACTCACCTTGACAGCTCTCCAAGATCTATGGCAGTGTCTTCACGGTGCATTTTGGACCCAGGAAGGTCGTGGTACTGGCTGGATATGAAACCATCAAGGATGCCCTTTTAAATCATGCTGAAGAGTTTGGAGAGAGGGCAGAAATACCCATATTTAGAAAAATGACACAAGGAAATGGTAACTGACCTTTTGCTTGGATAAGTTTTGTCTCTGTTCATTACAGCCTCTCAGCAGAGAGCACTGTCCTCTTACAGATCACTTTTTGTGATCTTAGGAGGCACCAGTGTGTAAGAAAATTTATGAACCACAGGTGCCATAAGGATGTTACACATTTATTTTAGGCATAGCATTCAGCCATGGAGAGATGTGGAAAACTATGAGAAGATTTACCTTGTCCACACTGAGAGACTTTGGAATGGGAAAGAGAACCCTTGAGACCCGAATCCTGGAGGAAGTAAATTCCCTTATCAAATATTTTGAATCCTATCATGGTGAGTGTCAAATCTTTCATCCAGAAACAGAGAACAGGTCTAGCAGAACAATAAAGATTAATGAAAGTTTAACTCTGAGCAAATGGTATCTCGTGGTTAAAGTTCAGCATAAAGTGCATTAGGTTATTGAACCAAGGCCTTAAAACACTGGAACAAAATTCCCTGCTATGAATTCTGGGTGGGGAATGAGTTTTCTTTGGGAGCTCAGGACTACATTTCCATAGGAAACCAGACTGAAATGAGCATAGTCATTTTGTCATTTGTTTTCATTGCTTGAAATACAGGGAAACCATTTGATACAAAAATGATACTCAACAATGCTGTATCCAATGTCATCTGCTCCATATTGTTTGGAGAGAGGTTTGAATATGATGATCCAGTATTTCTAACTTTGCTGAAGCTGATAAATCAAAATACTAAGCTGTTGGGCTCCCCTATGGTGCAGGTAAGAGCTTAATTTTACAGTTTTTGGGGAATATCCAGTTTCAGCATTTGTTCTTCTGGCCTCCCACATATCTCTTCTTGAGAACAAGAACATTATCAGCCAGTCAGCCTGTACAGAACACATCTGTGGTTCTGTATCTGCAATGCACAGATTACCAGATTCCTGCACTTTGTCAAACTTATTAGTAAAAAAAACATTTTAAAAAATCCAAACTTCACTAAACAACTTTACCCTCTTTGAAGAGCAGAAGCACAATCCCAAACCTGCCTCCTTGAATTACAGAAGGAACATTCTATTTCTGCAGGAATCCAGAGTTCCTTGGACTGTAGAAGGGGGGAATTACAGCCTCAAATGTCAGGGCATAGGACAAGGGACCAGCAGTGTGATTTGAGATACCAGTATGTGTTCAAAAATGCCAATTAACAGTAAAACTTGTCTTGCAGTTATATAACTTCTACCCATCCCTTGGATTTCTGTCTGGAGCTTCCAAGACTGTGCTACAAAACATCCTTGAATTGAATGCTTTTCTCCAGAAGCTCTTCCAGGAGCACAAAGAGGAGCTTAATGAAAATGACTTAACAGGCTTTGTCGATGCCTTCCTGGTGAAGCAAAAACAGGTACTTTAAAGCTGGGTCCCAGTGCCTTTCTGTTCCGTTCCCTTAGCTCTGACTTGACATCCCACGAGGGGGAAATAAGTTCCCACTCAGCACACATAAGGAGGAGATCATCCCAAACCTTCCTGCAAGAATGGTACCGGGATAAACTGTGTTGCAGTAAATAAATTCCAATTCATTGGAATTTTTTCTAATATCTAGACTTGGGGATTACACATATTCTTGGAACCAGACAAATTCCACACAGCATAGGTCCTAATGCTAAAAGACTAAATATTCAGTTTTCCAGCACATATAAAGTCACAGAAGGCTAAAATGCAGATAAAAATGGTGGCAACACAGTCACACATGGGTATTATTTGCTGCATTATCCCCATGTTTTGAAGGAGTTAAAGAAACCACACACTGCATTCAGCAATGGAAACCTGATGTTTTCAACCCTGGACCTCTTTGCTGCTGGGACTGAGACCACATCCACAACTGTGCGCTGGGGGCTGCTGCTGATGATGAAATACCCAGAAATTCAGAGTAAGGAGGACACATCTCTTGTACAATTTATTGTTGCATGCTTAAGGCTTTGGTTGTAGAAAGGAGCGGAACTCATTCAGTGCTGCCTAGAGTAATTATTCTCAGTGTTCTGAGAGAGACAGCAAACGTTGACTTTACAAAGGAATTTTATTCAGCTGGATTGCAATAAACCAGCCCAGCCAAGTGGGAGAGGCTGAGGGGCAGCCTACAGACACAGTAAAGCTCCTGGTAATTCACCTGCAGGCTATGGGCTTACGTCACTCAAGGTCTCCTCAGGAGCTGATTCTGATCTGGTTTCTGTTGGAGGTTATGGGGTAACAAAGGTGTGTAATGAGAGTCAGGCATGAGATGGACTGTCATGAGTCCATTCAAGCTGCCTTAGCCCAACAACAAACCTGAAGGAACCCCACCATGCTCTGACTTACCCACTTCTGCCCTTCCCAGATATTTACAGCTTTCCCTTTTCCTCATTTCTGCCGAACTGGCAGCCATTTCAGTTACAAGATGAGATTGTTATCAGCTTCTTAATCCTTTCCTCCCTCCAAGGAAAGATTCAGGAAGAAATGAACCATGTCATTGAACCAGGAGAGCTGCCTAAGTTGGAGGACAGGAAAAAAATGCCTTACACAGAAGCAGTAATACACGAAATACAAAGGTTTGCCAATATTGTCCCCATGGGCGTATCCCGATCAACTCCCAGAAATGTGAATTTCCGAGGCTACGAGATTCCTAAGGTGAGCTCTGAGGCTGCCAGCTTGGGCTGCACAGATTCCTCACAGCTTTCTTTAAAGCAGATGAAGAAACACATAAATAACTAAAGACACAGTGATGCATGGTTTAGTCTGTGCTGTGACCCTTTGTCTTAGATCCAGGATAATTACTGTAAACATACAATGGATTGTGGTCTGGTACAGTTGTTTGAATCATGATTAACCAGAGATTTAATTAAATCACACTAGTTTGAATCTTTTTATGTCAAATGTGGGACCTCTACCCCAGCACCTTTGTTGAAAGATCTGACTCTGTAAGAAAGGAATGTTTTGTGGTCCAAAAATTAAAACAGCAGTTACTGAAAACAGACAGAGCCACAATGGGACAGAGAATCATTCCCCAGTTCTATTTGTCAAGTCTTATTTGCCCCTTCACATTAGGAAAAAGAACACAGTCTGTCTCATGTAAGGGAGTGATCTCCTGTTCCATGAGTTTCTTTGATCCCTTTCAGGGTACTGAGATTATTCCACTGCTGACCTCTGCTCTGAATGACGAGTTACACTGGAAAACCCCGCATCAGTTCAACCCTTCCCATTTCCTTGATGCCAATGGGAACTTCATTAGGAGAGAAGCATTTATTCCATTCTCCATAGGTAAGAGGGGTATGGGTGCAAGGCTAATGGCAGTTCCCCCTGATTTCAGGAAAAGTATGAAAGCCAGGGACACAGAATAGAGGGTAAAGGATTTCTGGTCATTTCTCCTATCCACCATTGCTGCAGGTAACCACCTCTTCTTTGAGAGAGATGGGAGACATGGATTTACTCACAGTCACTGAACAATTTCATACATCTACAGACTTCTGTGTAGTTTGAGACCAAATCAGTAGCACTCTAATATACACAGGGAAGAAAGGGAAAATTTCCTACCTCAGCAGCCTGCTCTTCAGACTGTACCTCCTGCTTAGAAGGTCTCAGACATCAACACTAACAGTTACAGAGCTGACCATTAACTTCTCCCTGGTTGTTTTCAGGGAGAAGGGCTTGCCTTGGTGAAGGACTGGCCAGGATGGAGCTGTTCCTCTTCTTTTCGGGCTTGCTCCGCAGATTTGTTTTCCAGCCTCCTCCAGGAGTGGAGAAGTCAGACCTGGATCTCACTGCTGATGTTGGCTTCACCTTGACTCCCATGCCTCACCTGGTCTGTGCTGTGCCCTGTGAATGATCAAACAGCACAGCATTAGAGTAGTGAACACTTCAAGCTTTAAAGCAAATCTAGCTACAGTGGGGAAAAGCTGTCCCTGAGCTTTAGGGGAAGGAAACACCAGGCACTGTTATATTATGTTTTCTCATTCATGACATCCTCTCCAACAGCTCTTGCAATGTCTGTATAATGCAAAGCCTTCAGACAGCTCTGAGTTCTGTTCTCAGAAACTGTGATTCATTCCTGGAACAGCACATCAGAGATGCTGCTCTCAGGGCAGTTTGAAAGAGTGAAATGCCTTCAGACCTCTTCTGTAGATGTAACCCATCAGAGCTCTCCCCTGGCAGCCTCTATGGGGGATTTCTCAGCCCAAAGTCCAAGCCCTATAGCAAAGCTGATTATAGTTGGCCCAGCTGGAGACAAGAGACACTCAAAGGATCTGGAAATCTCCTCAGGATGGTTGTTCAGCTGAGCCTCAGACTGAGCTTCCATTGTGCCACACAACCTGCCTTATCTTTATTACAGAGTCCCAGACACAAGGGTGTAACACAGGCTGATGCCAAGACCCAGGCACAGGACAGTTATCAGAAAACATCTAAGTGCTTTGGGAAATGGGTTCTTTCCACCTTACACCAGGCACTTCATGCTGAACAGCCCATTTATGATGGGGCCAATTGAGCAGCTTTCTGCTTCTGCAGAAATACCTAAGAAAGGCATTTCTACCACTCCCTCACCTCTCCTGGCTTCATGCTGGCTCTGGCACTTGTCCAATCCCTTATTAGGCCATCTTGGATCCCTAAGCTGGCAGAAAATGAGCAGCCATGGCAAGGGAAGAGTTTCTGAATCAGCTGAAGCGATACCAGCCTGCGGCAGGGCAGTGGAGCTGGGGCTGGGCAGGGACTGCCACGCTCCAGCAGAGAGCTGGGAGAGGCTCAGCCCCTGCTCCCTGCTCCACCTGCACCTCAGGGGCTGTACTCGCTCTGCAGATCTTCTCTACCCTTCACAGAGAGAAAGGATCCTTAAGGGGATGAATCAGCTGCCATAACGTTGTCATTTCTCACCTCTGCACTGACTGCAGGGTGAACTATCATCCACAGACTCTTAATTCCAAACTTCAGTC